AACAATTCTTAAGTTTATATTCAGCTTGAAATTATTAGCCATTTAGCTTTATTCAGTTTTCATTTTCTTTTTTTTTTTTTGTGAAAATTCCATACGATTAAATGCTGCGTTTCTTCCCCCTCATTCACAGTGGCGCAGTTATGTCTGAAGTTTTGTGCAGATCATACCCTGAATTTCATCCATGCATAGCAGTTCTCGTCAGTTTCTTCTATACTGTAGATTTTCTCATTCCGTCATTGTAATTAGGCAATTTTTTGATCTGTCGTGTCAATTATGTTTTTCTTTTTCCAGTGTCATTTTCGAAGACTGGATGAAAATTTACCCGGTGGTTTACTTACTTTGATCCTAGTAAACCAAGAGCTGTGATGGATTTAATTAGCAGTAGTGTTCAGTGAAAAAACATTTCAACTGGTGATCCTTTCACGAGACAGAACGAATGTCTGCGTCGCAGGAAGTTTTGCTCCAGACAGCACAGATTGGTCAAATAAAAGAAGACTGGAAAAATTGCTAGCTGCCTATCTACGCTATAAATAAGAGCTGATCGCAGTATATGTAATACCGAGTGATGGCATCTTTGAGCAGTTGCAGGGATCTGAATATAGGAGTTTAATTTGGACGTCGGGATATCGGCCTGAATGTGAGATTTCAAACGGGCGGTACGTGTTGGTTGAACATTGTTTTTTTATTTGGAATCACCTTCCAGAATTTGGGTGTTTTTTAACGAATCAATGCTATTTTTGAAATTAATTTTGAGCTAAGGATTATACGTGTGTTTTAATGGTGCACAAAAATTAAGGCTGTTTAGATCGATAAAAACTTGATGGCTTTTAGCTCCTGAAAATATTTCACAGATGAGAACTTTTGTTTTCTCAAAGTAATAGAAAATGCTGTGCACTATTGCCAGGCTGTTCAGGCACGGTAGAAAACAGAAATTCGTTAAGCTGGGCAACTTTGCTAAATAGCAGTACCAGACCTGAAAGAAATATCCTATGTGATTATAAGCCAAAGGTAATAGATTTAAGTCCAGTTAAATTCTGGAAAACATAGGAAAAGAACTGAAAAAATATTTCCTTGTTTTTCAGG